AAAAAAAAAAAAAAAAAAAACTGCTCATGCTCACAGGACACTGGCCAGCTTAGTCCCTGGGGTCAAGGATTTTAACCCCGTCCCCCACCTCCATTTCCTCATCTCTAAGATGTGAATAATAGTCACCCCTGCCTCATAGGATTGATCTGTGTAACGCCCCTCCCACCTTTTTTCTGTGCCACCCACTGCGGGTCTGGGGCTTTTTTCTGGAATGCAATACAAAGTCTGAGTCAAGGGTGCCTTCTGTTGGTTGCTGAGGGCAGGGGCAGAGCTAGTAGCCCATGGTCCTGCCAGTCAAGGGGCTTCCAGAGGAGGGAGGACGGGCCTGTGGCCCTAGCATGTGAGCAGGCTCTTCTCTGCCTGGAAGCCCCATGCCTCAGCTTCCCCCACACTCCCACCTGCCCACTTGCCTCTGAACTTAGGCAATTCTTGGAAAGCTTGGGAGACTCACCTTTACTCAGATGGTTACCTGTCTCATGCCCAGCTTGACCTTGAACTTTAAATAGTGAGGACAAAGAACGAGGAGGATGGGGGGATGCCCTCCTTCCACAGGGCCCTGTGGCTTCCAAGCCTCAGCCTCCTCTGGTCTCTTGAAGCCTCCTTCAAACCGAGGGAAACAAAAGCATGTGCCACAAGCTGCTGTTTTTCTAGAATCTTCTAGCGATACTCCGAGAGCCATGAAACTGTTCCTCCGAGAACAGTTTCTCCGAGAGCCATGAAACTGGGGCTGGCTCCCAGGGTGATGGGACTCCAATGTCTTTGTTCTTTCTTGTTCTATGCATCCATGCTCTGCTCCACCACTGCCCCTTCAACTCTGCCCACACATATTACTCCAGACTGGCCTTGTGGTCAGAGCCTGGAATGCCTGGGCTGCTGGGGGCTTGCATGTAGGCTGCACTGGACTAGAAGCATTGGTGCCTTCAAGACTGCCCTGGGAAACATGACCTGCCCCGTTTCTATCTAGTGAGTACCCATTTTTCCCCACTCACCAGCTCACTTCCCTTGGCTGGGTCAATTAGAAAAAGCTCCTCTATTGGCCTGCCCTGTAGGGTGGAATTCAGAGGGCAGCTCAGGAACCTGGTGAGAGCTCAAAAAATAAAAAAAAAAGGGCCAGGCGTGGTGGCTCATGCCTGTAATCCCAGTACTTTGGGAGGCCAAGGCGGGCAGATCACCTGAGGTTAGGAGTTCAAGACCAGCCTGACCAACATTGGAGAAACCCCGTCTCTACTAAAAATACAAAAATTAGTTGGGTGTGGCGGTGGGTGCCTGTCATCCCAGCTACTCAGGAGGCTGAGGCAGGAGAATCGCTTGAACCTGTGAGGCGGAGGTTGCAGTGAGCCAAGATCATGCCACTGCACTCCAGCCTGGGCGACAGATCAACACTCCTTCTCAAAATAAATAAATTAATTAATTAAACTAAATTTTAAAAAGATGCGTACATTGGGCTCTTTTGCCTTTTATTCTTGTGTTTTCTAATCACAACTAAACACTAAACTCACATCTTGGCTTTGTAGATTACTCTAAGCTTGGCTGCAGCTGTGGTGCTAACGAGGGTAATGGAGAAGTTCCCTCACTCTCAATCACACCCCTTCCTTCCCGGAGTAAACTCAAGTCTGGCTCTGACTCTGGATCCCTCCCACATTGGACCTACCACACCCTCAGGGCAGACCATAGCTCTACACTCCCCACACTCAGCCACCAGGACAAGAGAGCCAGATTCCAGAGAGCTCAGATGAGTACCAGAGTGGAATGGCCCAGGACGCCCTCACACTGCTCAGTTTCTGCAGCCAACATTCCAGCAGCCGAGGCCTCTGCCATACTGGCTGCTTCCCCATGGACATCCAGTTTCACTAGGGGAACCCCAGCCTGGCTTCCCTTCCCTCTTTTTTATTTTTGTTTCTTTGGGACAGGTCTTGGCTCTGACACCCAGTCTGGAGTGCAGTGGCCAAACTGTAGCTCACTGCAGCCTCAAAATCATGGGCTTGCATGATCATCACGCCTCAGCCTCCCAGGTAGCTGAGTGTACAGGAGAGAGTCACCATGCCCAGCTAATTTTTCAAAATTATTTTTAATTTAGTTTTTGGGGTTTTTTTTTGTTTTTTTTTTTTTTTTTTGAGACGG